ACTTGTTGGTCGGTCGAGCGTGGAGAAGTTCCCATATGTTTGCTTGAACACAACAACACAGCAACAACACCACAAACAACAACAGTCGGTCGAGCGTGAAACAGTTGAGTTGTTGAATCTCCAGGACCACCCTTGTGTATGTTCTTCAGTTAAAGAGAAAAAAGGAAGATGAGTCCGCAGGGACGTACATGAGAATCCAAGACAGGACTCTCTGGGTGAATCGACCTAGAGCCAGCTACGATGACCTGGAAGGTTTTCAGCTGGATCCTGAAGAGACATGGCAAGGAATCAAGAAAGAGGTGAATGCGCTCGATAGTCTGAAAGTTGGTTATGCAAGATCAAAGAGCGAGATTGATGAATACCGCAAAGCCAACCCAAACTGTCGGACAGTCAAGTCCCGATGGGTCCTCACCCAGAAGGCCCCAGGACTAGTCCGAGCAAGGATAGTCGCTAAGGATTTTGCCCATGGCCGACCATCCGCACTCGATTTGGGATTGAGTTCTAATACTGCGTCGGTGGAAGCCCTCAAGATCGTCCTTGCACGGGCGGCGAAGGGAAAGATGCGGGCTTACGGCCTCGACATCTCCACCGCGTTTCTCTTTGCGCAGGTAGTGGAACCCACCATTATCGAGTTGCCAAGTACATTCGCGCTCGAGAGCGGCGAAACCGCGTACTTGATACTAGAGAAAGCGCTCTACGGTTTGCGTTCCGCTAGCCTTAGCTGGCAGCGACACCTGAACAGGATCGTATCTGCACTAGGCTTACAAGCGAGTCCGCTTGAACCGACGCTTTTCAGCGGATGGGTCAACCTTGAATCCGGATGGGAGTATATCATCATGTTAGCGTACGTGGATGATTTGCTCATTGTGTCCTCTACCGAAAAAGGGTTCGAGTACGTCCACGAAGCCCTGAGTTCAGTCTTGAAAGTCAAAGTGACAGGGAGGCTGATTGAAGATGGGCAGATGGAATTCCTCGGTCGTTTAATCCGTTGGGATGGACGACAGATCATGCTTGGGGTGAAGCCTGAGTATGTGAAGTCGGTCTTTACATCCTTCGGATGGGACATATCCACCGTAAAAGCATCCTTGACGACACCCGACATCAGGAGTATGTACGATGCGGAGAGTGTTGAAGAGCCTTCAAAGGAGCTGTCCAGTGAAGCAGCTTCACGGTTCCGAAGTTGCCTAGGGAAGATAGGCTGGCTCTGTCAAACTCGCTCAGATATAACGTACTTTCACTCCATGTTGTCGCGCGGACAAAGCATGCCACGGCAAGTGCATGAAGATGCACTTCGCAAGTTCCTGCGATGGTTAGCAGCGTTTCCGCTGTTAGATCAAATCTTTCCGCTCGGAGATGGCAAGACCAATGAGGGGGAGAATGCCAGCCTGGTAGCCTATTGCGACAGCAATTGGGGCAGCGAGATGAGCGTAGCCCGGAAGAGCACCAGTGGCGGAGTGATCTACATTGCAGTGGACAGTACGTGGTACTGCATAAAGGGGTACAGCCGACTGCAAAGCGTTGTCGCACTCAGCTCAGCAGAGGCAGAGTTGTTTGCCATCGCCGAGGCAGCGAAAGAGGTGGCAGGACTTGCGCAATTGACGGCGCATATCTGGGGCACCCTCCAGAAACCCCACCGCGTGTACACTGACTCTGCCTCAGCTAGGCAAATTGCCAGCATGGAGGGGCTACTCAGACGCATGCGGCATATAGACTTGAGGTTGTGCTTTATCCAAGACCGTGTCCATAGCGGCGAGTTAGCAGTAGAGGGAGTGGCCGGAACCGAGAATGTGAGCGATCTTCTCACAAAGAATTTAAATCGCCTCCAAACAGCAAAACATACTGCAACCCTCGGACTAGAAGATGTGACCAGCATCGATTTCCGAGAGGTCCCAGCAGTCAGGTCTTGCTTGTTGCTGTCTGGAGTGCTAGATTCGATACTCGGGCCGGACAACCTCGAATACGAAGCTTTCTGTCGGCTATGCGAACTCGAGACTGAATATTCAACTTTGCTGATCGAGTTTTGCACGAGTTCACGTTCGAATCTGTACCTGCAAGGAAGTGTGCACCAAGTATTTGTCCTGCCGATTACTCAAGGGGTTGACGGAACCTCAAATGACACCGTGGAGCGGGTCATGTCTGCAATGAATGTTGCGAGAGAATGGGGGATGAAGGTTGTTTTCTGGAGCAGCACTCCTTGTACCGGAGGTAGCCCGTACCAACGGCGACACGAAGATCGGCCGGGCTATCAGGACCATCTACAAGCTTTATTCACGGTGCATCGCAAGCTCTGGCGGAGCTTCTTAGTGATGGTGAACCACCCGCAAGTGGGGGTATGGGTCATAGAATGGCCGCAGAGGTGTGCCTACTGGGGATGGGCAAGCACCCGTTCGTTTGCAAAGCAAAGAACCCATTACACTGGCGAAGTGCACGGCTGTGTTTCAGGCTTGGTAGGCAGAGATGGATTACCTATCCGAAAGATTTGGAAACTGATGTCGAACGATGAACAGTTTGTGCGAACAATGTCCGAAACATTTGCATGTACCTGCAAGGGAGATCATTCACGAAACTTTGATCTCAAAACAACGCAGCACTATCCGCCAGCTTTCGCGGACGTCGCCCTGGAAAGCTTGCGACTGCGGTAATTCGCGCCCGCCCGTCCACCCCTGGCTTACCCGCCCACCCGCCCAGCCAGGTTACTTTGCGAGAGTTAGTCGACCTCCAGCGGTCTGAAATCAGTGCAGCGGTCTAGGACTGAGGAATGCGCCGGCGTGCGCGCCCCGGCGAGGAGCTTAGTTGGCTTTGCGTGGAGCTTAGTTGACGTGACCAACAGTGAAACTCTTGGTCATGAGGGGGAGTTGATATATGTGACCCTCCTAGTTTCCCAGTTGACACGTGATGTGCACTTGAGTTGTCTGCTATGAGTGTGAAGCATAGGCACGAGGACATGTCAGGCAGTGCAGATTTCTTTTGGCTTGGTGAGACCTTGTTTTGAGTGGGAAGAACCGTTTTCTGTTCGTTTTCTCGAAACTCGTTTGTCGGAACTCGTTTCCTGTTTGTGACCTGGTATTTGGTGACCAGAAGTGACTCAAGCCAGTTCAGGTCTGCACAGAGCTCAGCAGAGCACCTAAGAGGTGCTAGGAACCTACCCACAGTGTTTAGGAGTAGAAGTTCCATGGCTGAGTGTTTTCACCTGAAGTACCTTTGTTTTCCCATGTCTGGCAGACAGTGTTTGAAGCTGGAGAGCCGTGCTCGCATTGGCTCAAGAGAGCGGAGCTCGAGAAGCTGTGAACAGCGCAGTGAAAAGAGTCCGCACTTCGTGCTGTGAGGGTTGAGTGTAGTCTTGACCTGAGGTCCCTTAGGCCCCCGTAGCTGTGCCACGAGTTTCAACGGGTTTCGGAAGCATTGCCGACACTCTGCGCCAAGCTGGGGCCAGGATCCTATTGTTTCAAGGGGCGATGTGATAAGGTTTATGGAGGGATTAAAGGTTAGGGAAGATCGTCCTCAAGGGCAGCATAAGCCGCTCCGGCCTGTGCAGCCCTCCGGAAGAGTCACAGGCAAGATCGACATTGCAACTACACCCGTATGAACTTATGACATTTGTAAATTAGATCGATGGTGCAGGACGCGGCGGCTGCAACACAGACCCAGCTGACCAGCCAGCCGTTGGCGCCAGGGCCACAACCGAAAGTAGACAGCTGCGACAGCCTCATGGAGGGCGCAAGAGAGCGGTCGGGCCTGCACGTCCGCAGGCCACCAGTGCGCGCCCTAAGGGGACCGAAAAAGAAACCTGTTTCGGCGTCAGCCGTCCTGCAGCAGAGCACTGCGAAGAGCTTGGAGGTGCTTCGCAAGCAGGGGCCGCCGTGCCACGCGAGCAAGCTTGCATAGGTCGAAGCAGCAGTTCCTTCCCTTTCTCGCGAAGGTTCCGGCAGCCGTTTGCAGGGCTTAATCACTTCTGGGCCTTCTAGAGAAGTTTTAGGCAGCAGTTTGAGAAGCCTACTCACTGCTGGGCCTTCGGAGAAGTTTTAGGCAGCAGTTTGAGAGGCCTAATCACTCTGAGCCCTCCAGGAAGGTTGAGGCAACAGTTTGAGAAACCAATCACTTCTGGGCTGGATGGGCCTTCAGGCAACTGTTGGGACCAGCAGTTTGAGAGGCCTAATCATTTCTGGGCCTTCTGAAAATCTTGAGGCATCAGTTTTGAGAGGTCTACCCACTGCTTCTGCTTGCCACAGCACAGACTAGCTAAGTCGTCGTGATTCCACATGCATCAAGCCCAGCAGGCGAGGGTCACGGCCGCGGTGCATCCAGTTGGCTGGCAGCTTGCAGCTCGCGTGCAGCCGTTTGCCAGCCTCCTCCTGCCGCCTGCAGCTCCATGGCATGTGTGTGCTCCTCCCTGTGAAGACATTTCTTTGTTTGCCTAGTTGCTTGCAGGTACATGTGTAGGACATGAGTGCTGTGACATGGCAAGAACATGTTTTGTTTTGGCATGAGCATGTTTGCATGACATGAAGGTGCTTTGACTTGACATGTTTTGGTTTGCAAGTCCGAGGATGAGTTTTGGGAAGCACAGAGAGGCTTTTAGCTCTCGGGAGTTGACCTGAGAGTCATCTGGAAGTGCTGAAGCAAAGCTCTGAGGAACAGACTTTGGCCGTTACTCACTCGTGTGCCTTGCCCCGTCGTTCGTACCGTGTCGTGATCGTTTGACACTCGACTGAGGCATTCTGAGAGCATGCTGTATGTTTTGCAACAGACCTGAAGTCCTGAAGCAGTAACCAAGATGTTTTGCATGTTACTTTTGCATTCTCCTTTGTCTAAACAAAGTTGAGATGTCGTTTGAAGACTTGAAGCCTTTGCTCTTGGAGAGAGCACCTTTGCTGACTGAAGACAGTGCAGCTGAACACTGACGTGTTTGGCTCAAGTGCGAACGGAAAAAGCAGTCTGCGCTAAAGCTCTGCTTTTCACATGGTAGCGGAGCGTCCTGAAGAGACGTTCCAGGAAAAGCCATGGCACAAGTTCCGGACGCGTCTACAGTGCCAGTACCTGATGTGAGCCCTGAGGAAGAGGCTTTGCTGTTTGGGTCTCAAGGACAACCGACAGCACCTGCTGGAGGAGCGAACCCTTTTGCGTCGCCTCCGGCAACTCCAGCTCAAGCTCATGCTTCGCCTACTGGAAGCCAAGTGGGTGGAGTACAAGCTGGAAATGGCCTTGGTGAAGGCAACTTCCAAGCCATCTTCTTGGAGATGCTAAGGCAGCAAAGTCAGGCCAACCAGCAGAACCAGCAGTTGATAGCTGCCCTCATGAGAAGAATGGATTTGGAAGAGAAGCGTCGAAATGAGGCTGAAGAGAAGGCAGCGGAGACCGCACGTTTGGTTGCAGAGGCTGCAGCTAGAGCCAAGACGGAAGACCCGTTTGCAGCTGCACCGAGCACACCTTCTGTGCCTTTTGCAGGAGCTACCTCGTCTTCGAGCTCTGTTCGGAGCCCATTGGTGCAGAATAGGGCGGAGAAGTACCTTCCATCTCTGCCGATGCTAGAGCATCAAGGCATGAACAAGGGCAGGATGCGAGAAGTCGAGACATGGCATGCCTACCTGGAGACACTGTCATCGTGGCTTGCTCTTCAAGATGAGTCTTTCGTTCGAGAGTTGCAACTCTGCGTCAAGCAAAAGAATGAGATCCTTCAGAAGGATTTGGCGGATGATGTTGCTGCTCGAAGTGCGAAGCTTTACTACTATCTCACCCAATCTCTCTCACGTTGGGAAAGAGGTCAGGAGTTGCTACGCTCGTGCTCGAAAAGGCAGTCTCTCAGTGCCTGCGGATACGAGGCTGTGAGGACCATCACGCAGCAATACAGCATCGTGTCTCGCATGGAAGCTGTCTACGTGCGGGAGCAGTGCCTCAAGTTGGCGACTACGTGCCAGCATCACCGACGGCCGACAGACCTCATCCGTCACTTGGAGGACGAGTTTTCTCGTGCCGAATCCAAGCTTGGGAACTTTCCAGAGTTGCGTCTCACGGAGGCTGACCGCTGCAGTGTTTTGCTGCAAGCTCTGAGCCAGGAGCTCAGACAGTACGTCGTTCTTCATGGGAAGAGCAACGACTGGACATCGCTGAGCGATAGCCTTCGGTACTATGAGGAGCAGCTTCGTCTGTGTGAGGGTCCCTTTTCCTCAAATCGGCAGATGTCAGGAAAGGGTGACAAGCTTTGTGACCACTGTGGACGAAAGGGACACCTGGCTAAGGACTGCTGGAGCCGTCAGCGTGAAGCCGGTGAAAAGGGCAAGAAGGGCGACAAGGGCAAGAAGGGCGATGGCAAGGGAGCGCAGAATCCCAAAGGAAAGCCACGCTCTCCAACGCCGAAAGGCGGAAAAGGCGGCAAAGACAAGGAGCAGAAGCCCGACAAGCCTGATAAAGGCAAGGGCAAAGGCAAGAAGAAGAAGAAGGCTAGAGCCCGGGCTATGGGAGAACCAGAGTCCGAGGCAGAGTCCGAGTCTTCGAGGACCTCCACCGTGATGGCGATGAGGTTTGCCAAGCCTTCTGCTGTACGAGAAGTACTGAGCCAGCCTGAGCCTGAGAAGCCTAAGCCCGTAGAGGCAGTCCCTAGACCGGTCGCTGTAGGGCCGAAAGTCACTGTAGATGAGAAGGTAGGCACCCTGACTGGAAGCACCTCGAAGGGAGATGCGGCATACGTCTGCGCTTCGCTGCAGGTAGAGCATCGTGATGTGTGGCTGGTCGATAGTGGAGCCACATGCCACATCGTCTCAGCAGATCATCTGTCAGGATTTCGTGTCTGCAAGTACCATGATCGCACGGTGACGCTCTATAGTGCCTCAGGAGACATCATAAACGTATCGAATGTCGTTGATCTGGAAGTTCGTTTCGGCGACGTTTCGTTGACGTTGGAGGACGTCCTTGTGGCGGACGTGCCTTTCAATGTGGTATCTCCGTGGTCCGCGTCGGAACGGGGCTGGAAGACGCACCGCACCGGGTCTCGCATTTACAAGGGTGGAAAGAAGAATGTCCGCCTGGTTGGGGCGAAACGGGCCTGGTGGGCGATTAGCGGAAAGAAGCAGAAAGCTCCTAAACGCCCATCCAAGGGATCGGACATGGAGATCGACTCTCTTCCTGTTGACAAGGAACCCAGGAAAGACATTACTGCAGGACCAAGCATCCTGAAGAAGACTTCGAAAGAAGCGAAGAGTGATGAGAAGCCTGGAAAGGACGAGAAGTCTATCCGCCACGTCTTGACGGGAACGCCGTTTGAGTTCATGTTGCGCGGTTTGAGGGCTGAAGTTAGGAGTAGGTCCCTGGAAATTCCTGAAGAACACGCCGGTAGGAAACCGCACGACATGATCTGTACTAGGAAAACGCCTGTCCTGAGTGGTGATAGGAGCCTGTGTTCCGAAAGTCTGGTTAGGAAACTTCATGACTCTGTTAGGAAATGCCATGTTTTTGTCAGACAGCAACATGATTTTTGGCAGCGGCATGTGTGCGCAGTTTGGAACGTGATGTTTTTGCTGGCATGTCTTGTGAAGGGGTTGTGTTTGAAAGGCTTTTCGCTTCTGATCTTCGGCAGTGAAGGTTTGAGGTGTGCCCTTAAAGGAAGTGAGTGCCCCAAAGCAACCGAGCCAGGCATGTTTTGCGTTAGGAAGCCCAAAAGGACCTCAAAAGGCTTGAAGTGCGCATGTTTGTCCGCAGCCATTTTGCTTGTTTGCGTGTCTTGGTTTTCCCTGAGGGAAGGTACTGAGCATGTCGGAACCGCCAATGGAGGTGGAGCAAGATTCCCACAACTCTCCAGCGGAGAGTGCCGGGCAGGAGGTTGCGTTTTTGAATGCACCAGTAGAGCCTGCACCAGCAGAGGCGGCGCCAGTCGAGACTGCGGATGCAGAGGCTTCAGCTGCCCCATTCAATGTTTTCTCGAGGCCTCCGAGTCAAGTTGCAGTACCTTCGCCTACGGTGGCTGCATCAGAGACAGGAGAGACAGAAGAGGAGGAAGCATGGGGAAAATGGAGGGCAAGCAAGGCCAGGCCTTCGCAGCCATCAGCCGAGCCGCCGCTGATAGTGAAGTGGAGAAGCATGCTGAGGGGGCCGCGCTACAGGTATTTTATGCAAGCGATACGACAACAGCGAGAAGATCTTATTGCATGTGGATACCCTGTGCCGGCAATTCCAGAGAACGACCTGGAACCTGCAGTTCCACTTATGTCTATCGGAGATGGGCTCGTTTATTCTTCCCGCCAGGGGACCATCTTTGCGTCATTGACAGATGCTTTGATGACCGACGGCTACCTCCTCGAGGTTGGACAGAAGCTCCTTGGGCGGATCCAACGTCCAGACCCAGATGTGGGACCGTGCCTGGGAACGGGGTGGTCCAAGAGGCTTCGCGATCACGATCCCGATCCTCTGGATGGAACGCCCTACATCAGCGCAGAGGTTGCGTGGGCGCTGTGGCTGCCCGAGTTTCCGGAAGCCCCGGATCATGGAGGCATCCTTCCGGTGAAGAGAAAGAGGGATTTTTCCCAGCTCACCGACGAGTTGTTGGACGAGCATACTACAAGGTTCGAACTCGCGGGTCAAGGCCGCACTCTTCATCAACGCGGCGTGCGTGCAAGGGACGCGCGTGCTGCTATCGAAGGATATACTCCCGATCCAAGTCACCTACGCCACCAGAGTGGCGGGGACGTGGCTGCGCTGGGTTACATCAAGCGTATCCTCAAGGTCCTGACCGTTTACGAGGCCATGCCGGAAGCGGAACGCAACCTTTTGGCTGGAATGTACCCAGACGACGTCGAGCTCCAGCTCGAGTGGGTGCCAGGCTCAGCCATCAGGCATGGGTGGCGTGCGTTAATGGGGGCAATGGATCAGCGCACCCGGCGCTATATCGAGTTCGAAGCAGAGGTCCGAAAATGGGAGGACTTGCAGTCCGCTCGACCCAAGGTCAAGGCCAGAAGAACGGGTGCAGCTGCTTCCACAGATACTGGAGGTGGAATTGGAGCGATGAACGAAGGCTCGGAGACTGGAGCCATGAACGAAGGCTCGGAGACAGAGTCTGCAGAGTCATCCTCGGCAAGTTCATCGGACGAATCGATTCCAATGGGGGAATACATGATGCAGAGCCGGACCAGAGTTTTGGCGCTCATCGAAGCGGAGAAAGCCTTGAAAGATGTGGGCTCCTCTGCGCCGCCCCCACCGTCTCCTATCATTATGGAGCCATCGCCGGTTGCGACGGACGGGTACAAGTTCGATCCAGCATCTCTAGGAGCCCCTCTGGGGGACACTGCAGCTCCATCAACACCGGTACCTCCTTTGCCTTCCGCAGTTTCATTGGCCCCTTTGGAGTCATTCAAGTTCTTGGATGTCCCACCTGTTGCTTCTTCTGGTCCCTCGGACCACAGTGTGGAGCCTATGGTGGTGGAAGAGGAGCGGGCCCCAGAAACTCCAGGACCCACGGCACCGGTTGGAGCTCCAATTTCCGCAACGGAGAGTGTGCCGGAGACCCCTCCTCCAGGGGAAATTCCAGGTCCCGGTTATGTCCCGAAGGCAGCTCCTGGGGAAATTCCAGGTGCTCTGTCGAAAGCCCAGGGGGCACCAGCGGGGGCTACACCGAAGGCCTGGTCTGTGGTTCCAACTTCCTCGCCTTTGACGGTTCCAGAAGCGCCAGTGGCTGTAGAGTCTTTGCCTGCAGTTCCAGAGCCAGCAACCGTGACAGCGGAGGAAGGGCCTACCTCCGAGACCGCTACATCATCCGCAGCGGGTGCCCTTCCGCCTCCGGGCGGCTTGGGTCAAACAGCCGAAGAGAGGGAGTTTGTGCTTCCTTCCCCTTGCCAGAAGAAGTGAAGGCCTTAAAGGCTGTGCGGAATTCTTCCTTTTGTGGAATTGTTTCTGAACGCGCCGATCGCATGTCTTGCGCGTTGGAAAAACACAGTGTCTTTCAGGCTTGTTTGGACTTGGAAAGAAGCATGAGTGAAGCAGTTGAACAGACATGTTGCTGTGTGAGACTTGCTTGGTTAGGAGTGTGCGAGCTTGAAGGTCCCTTGAAGAGAAGCCCAAAAGAACTTCGATCTTCTCGGCAGTACCCTCAAAGATCCGAAATACCCTCAAGTCCGCGTTTAACTAGCCCGAAAGAACGTCGATCTTCTAAGCAGTACCCTCAAAGATCCGAAATACCCTCAAGTGTGAACCTCAGAAACGCCACGAACCCAAACCTCCTGAACATGAGTCATGACAGACCCCTGCCGGCCAGGAGTGCTTTGTTTTGCATGCCAGGAGAAGCATTGGATGTTTTCGCTTGCTTGGCGATCTATGTGATAGCAAGTCTCTTGGGGGGTTCGTTCTGGTTAGGGTTTCGATTCTTGAAGATGTGTTTGAAAAGGTTTCGAGGAGTTGGTGACTACCCTCAACTTGTATCCCGAAAGTACCGTTTACACCATCGTCGTAAAGGAGTCCGAGTGCGAATCAAGACTCGTTTCTGTTATGTTCGAGTTGATGTAGAACGTACTCTGGTCTTTAGCAGGCACGTTGTGAAACCAACTTGGAGCTCAGGTTTAAAGCCTCTTTGAAGTTCGCATGTAAGGCCATGTGCTTGGGCCTTTGTCTCGACAGGAACTTGTGGAGCTTGTTGGTGTGCATGGCATGGTGTTGTGCTTGGAGTGTGTGTGGTTGTTGTTTGTGGAGAAGAAAGGGCGATGATGAAAAAGGGAGCAGATCCACTTCTGAGCACAGCCACTTGAGAGTTGTGCGTGGACTGCCCCTCCCCGGTAAGGGGACGCAAGCTGAGCCCTTAGAACTCGATAGTGACATACCACGTTCTTCAGAGAGAGAAGAGAGAGGAGAAAAAGAGAGTCCGCTTCCGAAGCCTCAAGGTGCTGAACCACCTAAACCCCCGGAACCGGCTGGAGGTGCAGAAGTTTCAGATAGGATACCTCTGCGAAGTGTGGCTTTGCAAGTGCATAGATCCAGAGGTCATTTTCCTTATGATGTGAACTGTGAGGCCTGCACCTCGAGTAAAGGGAAGGTTCCTGCGAGACGGTTGCGAAGGCGTTTGCAACGCGAGGACCAGACGATAGGAATGGATTTCTACTACTTCGGTCGTCTTCGTGTGCTGCTTCTTGCACATTGCTCTTCGAACTATACCACGGTCATCCCGGCCATGAATTTGGATGATCCGGATCTGTTTTACAACATTGGACGAGTGATTCGCGAAATGGGTCTTGTGAATAAAATGGTCACAGTGAGATGTGATCAGGAGTCGGCTTTGATGTCTTTAGCCGAAAAATTGACTACCCGTACAGGTGATGTAGCTGTTTCTGGCGTCATTGTGGACGTCGTGCCCGGGTATCGCCCTCAGTCAAAAGGCGCTATTGAAAGACAAGTAGAAACTATGAAGCAGGGATTTTGGGCAGTGTGGTTAGACTTGGAGAGAGAAGTTGCGCGGAATTCCGCGCCGGAAGACTGGAACAAGAAGCTTCCGCTGGGAGGAATGCTCTGGCAAGCTTGTGTCCTTTACAGTGCCAGGTGCTACAACCTCTGGAGCTTTAGTCACCAGGACGTGACTACGCCCATTGACCGGCTGCACGAGGAGATTGTGCATCGTACGAGGACCCTGCCGTTTGGATGTCTTGTCTACGCTAAAGTAGGGGGCTCAAAAGCGCATCAACAGAAGTACAGGGGAAAGAAAACAGTGAAAGCTGTGTATCTAGGGCCTAAAGAGCCTAGAGGGGGCGGTGTCTTTGCTGCTCCAGTGGGTCAGACTGAGATCGATATCTTTCCTGTCTGTAGGGCCTTAGAAGGAGCGAAAGGTGAGCCTGTCTACGACGTAGGGGCCATACACGCTCTGTCTACTTCACAGCCTCTGGTTCTAGACCCAGCGGATCCTGAAAGGCCCATCATGTTTGAGCCACCACCTGATCCGGTGAAGTCAGAAGACCCTGACCCGGGGTTTGAAAACGAAGATGAAGAGATGGTACCAGATGATCCTGATCCTCTGAATGATATTCCGTCTTACGTGGAACCCACAGATGATGAGGGGGAAGGCGGACTTGGGTCACCGGAAATGCAGCCGGATGACCTGAGGACATGGAAATTGACTGGCTAACTAACCATCTGTTAGAGTCTTTGTTCAAAGGACCGGACATTCTGGCCACGTCTAAAGAAGTAGCTGATTCGTTTACTCTCAAATTCGGAGGGAGTAAGATCAAGTGCCAAGTACCCCGAAACGCCGTTTCTGAGACCTCAGGTGAACAGTTAGACCCTGAACTTTTGTATGCTTCGATGAAGTTGGAGCTTGAGGAACTCGAGTCTTTTGGAGTAGGAAAAGTGATCTCTGAAGCTGAGGCCCGCAAGTCGGCGCGAGAGAGCGGTCGGAGGGTTCTCACGAGCAGGTGGGTTAACACGATCAAACGTAAAGGTCTTTACCGTTCCCGCCTCGTTGTTAGAGATTACGCTTCAATGGGAGGCACGACGCTTTCAGAAGGCATCTACAGCCCGACTACGAGTTTAGAGGGTTTAAGGCTTCTTTTGGCATTGCTTTGCAAGAAAGGCTCAGTGTTGAGCTGTGACGTGAGCGTGGCTTTCATGCACGCTGCAGTGTCAAGGCCAGAGTACGTAGAGCTCCCAAACAATGTGAGTATTGCGGACTCTTCTGTTCCCCAAAAGGCAGGAAACAAGAAGGTGTATCTTCGTCTTCATAAAGCGATGAACGGATTGAGATCGGCACCGCTTTCTTGGTATAAGGAACTGAGTTCGTACTTGGAGAAGAGCGGATTCAGTCCAAGCCTGGACCCTACGATATACCGAAGGAAGACGTCGAAGGGTCTGACGTTGGTACTGTTCTATGTAGACGATTTGCTGATCTACTCCGAGGACCCATCGGAAGGTAAGAGAGTTTTCGAAGGACTGCAGAAACGCTACAAGCTGAAACTGACTGGAGAGCTTCCTGAGAATGGTGCGGGGGAAGTTTCCTTCTTGGGTAGGAGAATATTCCGACGTTCCGGAGACAAGCGCGTCTATTTCGGGCTAGATAGCAAGTACCTAGACGCGTGCTGCTCTGAGTACAATATAACCAAACCGAGCCCCAAACTCCCGTCGCTTGAAAAGCGATACTCCGACCTGGTTCGAAAAGGGCAAACTGAAAAGATTAGCCCGGCCGCACACGAAAAGTATCGTAGAACCCTTGGTCGGCTTGCATGGGCAGCCCTCTCCCGACCGGACCTGCAATTCTGTTGCGGGTTTTTGGGCCGGCACCAGGCGGCGCCAGACGAGGCTGCTGAAACATGCATGAGAGACGTCCTTAAGTGGATAAAAGGGCTTCCGCACCGAGTACAGGTGTTTCCATCAACTCGGGAGATCCTGGAAGATGATGCGGATCCTCAGGCGGTTTCCTGTTTTACAGACGCAAGCTGGAGTTTGAATTCGGTTAGTGGTGGTGTGATTACTTGGGAAAACTGCTGTCTGAAGACTTTTAGCAGAAAGCAATCAACCACAGCCCTGTCCAGTGCTGAGAGTGAGCTCGCGGCGCTCACGGAGATAGCCAGGGAAGGTCTCTGCATTGCCCTCTTGACAGAGACCATCTTGGAAGGCATTCCGCAGGACAGGGAGACCGGTTACTATCTCTTGAAGGGTTACTCTGACTCTGAAAGCGCGGTTTGTGTCTCAAAAATGGGAACATTGCTGAGGAAAGTTCGCCATATAGAGTTAAGAGCCGCATTTCTCCAGGAACTTGTGGATCGTGTTCACGATTGAGCACATACCGGGGGCCATCAACCCCGCAGATGCTCTAACGAAAAGTCCCACGAATGACAGTTTGGCAAGCTTGTGTGAGGCTTGTGGCTTGACCACCGAGCCGGTTGGCTGGGAAGAAAAAGCTTCAGGCACTAGCGTTTCGGTTACCTTTAAAGAGCCCAATACCTGCGACGAAGTGCTCGCAATTCCGAGCTCGTGGAAGGACGAGTCCTATAGAGTTGCTTCTGGGGAGGCCACCATGGTTGTCTTGGAACTCTGTTGCGAAGAGGAAAGCGCGATAGCCCAAGCTTGTAAGCGGGAACGTGACATCGCGTACTTTGGAGTCACCAAGAAGCTAGACTTGCTGAGTAGAGAGGCTTCTTTGTTGCTAAAAGGGATTCTGGAAAAGATGGCTTCTAACGAAAGAATCTACGTGTATGCACATTTGTCTACGCCGTGCAGCGCAGGTAGTGGCCTTAGGCACCTGCGTTTCTCAAAGGACGTGAAGAACCGGGCGAGATGGAGAGCTAGTCTGGAGGTACACAAGAAGTCCTGGAGACGCATACGAGCAGTTTTCCAGGACTATGCTGGCCACGAGAGGCTCCTCCTCTCCCACGAATGGCCTAAAGGGTCTGGCCTTTGGGGAGAAACAGTCTACAAGTCAACAGCGAAAAGACTGGGACTCGAGCACGAGTGTTTGGTAGACCGGTGCTGTTTCGAGGAAGCTGGCAACCGTATCCTGAAGCATTGGTGGTTCGTCAGTTCGGATTCAAGTTTTATCTGGACTTTATCCTCTTGTGTTTGCCCAGGAAACCACGAGCATGCGAGTGCTACTAGCATAGCAGCGACAGGTGTCTATCCGCAGGGCTTAGGCCGATTCCTGGTGAAAGAAGCCAGGAAAAGTCTCGAAAGACGAAAGAAGGACTGACCGCGCAATAGGCATGAGGGGGTGTGAAAATATGACATTTCTTTGTTTGCCTAGTTGCTTGCAGGTACATGTGTAGGACATGAGTGCTGTGACATGGCAAGAACATGTTTTGTTTTGGCATGAGCATGTTTGCATGACATGAAGGTGCTTTGACTTGACATGTTTTGGTTTGCAAGTCCGAGGATGAGTT